TGCGATCTCCGGCTGGGCCCGTCTCGGAGGAATCCGGGCTGGAAGCTCCCAGAGACCGCAGGGCAGTTAACAGCAGTCAGCACAGCTTTTAAAAGATGAGCGCGGTGGCTTTGTTCAGAAAACTGACTTTAAAACGCCGAGTTTAGGCTACACTGGTGTTACTTAACTAACATTACTGGTTGGGTGGCAAACAGAACAATAAGCATCATTCTTCCAAGTGCACTGAAAGCGGTAAACTTCATAATTTACAGGAATGCAATTTCTGCTTATAATTCATCACACTAGAGTTACAGTACTGGCAGTGCAGGATTAGGAGCAATACAAGTTGGAAATTAGAATGGATCAGTTTAACAGGCATCACAATTCAATTTTCTGACCATAACCAAAGATGCATTATTTCATAGGTCACGTGTAAAGATTCAAACAAGCTTCCTTCCTCCCAATATATTTAAAACCATTTAAACAATAGATGTATGCTGGCAGGATCATTAGCTTCTTTGATTAGCTTGTTCTTTGTGTAAAGTGCTTTAAGAACATAAGCTGCCAAAACACTAGCTGGAAACGCGGTCTAACCAAACCTGAATCAATGACTTGCTGTAAACATCTAGCTGCATGTCTGCATATCCTCCCCTTCTCCCTTGGCTGGCAGTTTCACGAAGCTCCCATCTGCACCTCGCCGACACAAGCAGTAAGAGAGAGGCAAGGAGTGCGAAGGGGAACCGCCTCATGCTTCCTTAACTATGTTTTTTTGCTAAAGGAGACATTCCAAGTAGCGGACACGAAACATAATCGCGGCATTTGAAGAAGTTTCACAGAATTATCCAAAAGCAATTTTTCAAGTAAAAATGAAAGGAAGAAGAGCCTGAATCCAGTCACCAGAGATAATACCTCAAACAGTCATCTTATTTACACGCTGTACCTGCTTATTCCAGCAAAGCATCTCCTGACTGCACAGATTCACCCCTGTGCTGTCAAGGTCTGACCTGCCTTACATCACCTCTCCAAGCGCACTTAACAGCTTCGGGCCAAATGTAGTCTCCTGGCGGTATGCATGGCCAGGCCACCGGCTGCACGTTGAAATGAATCTGGGCCCTCAAGCTCACTCTCCTTTGTATCCCTCAAATTTCACAGTTTGGTGTCACAGTCGTTCTCAGCATCTCTCATTAAGCCAATCCAGCAGCAACCTATTTGGTCAGTTACTTTCGGGTAAGTATTTAAAAAGAAAACTCAATGACAACAAAACATACAATAAGCAACAGCCTCAGCTTAGCTGGAGAAGCTCCTCAAGAGAAGCCCAGAAATATCTTTACAGTACTTCTATTTCCTCGGGTTGGTGATAGAAGAGCACGGGGGCGGGGGGGGACCCCACACCTCTAAACCACCAATGTGCACCAATATTAACTCCAACTCAAAACGTAGCAGACCAGCTCCATGCAATGGGACCTGCTCTGGACTCAGCAAGTCATCATTTGCCAGCAATTGAACTGCGCGAGCCAACTTAGCCTCCTTGCTTTCAAATGTTGTCCCTCCCTACCCTCACGGCTTTTAAGATGGTTTAAGTCCAAGTTCTCTCTCACTTCCAGGTAATCGCAGAGTTGAGCATGCCCATCAGCCAGCATTTGGTTCATCTCTTACAGTTGGAGATATTTTGAAGGCAAACTGAGTTTGGGGACTGGAAAGGAAATACAGAGCAGTAGATAAGTCCTATTTCAACAGGCTGCGCTAGTCATCTCCTGGCAGTCAGGATTTTTCCATCCATCCTCCCCTTATGCTGCTCAGCTTAAAAGTCAGCAGTGAGTCAGCCACAGACTGGATTCCCCTTCGTGTGCAACGTTGCACTTTGTTTGAGCCCACTTCACGGGTACCTTTAATAAGCCCGCTGAGTTCCTTTAACACCTATTACTTGAACGCTGGACTAGTCAAAACCATAGATGTAGGAGTTTTTTCCACGAGACTAAACTGCATTCCATTTTCAGCTGCAGAAGCCTCCACTGGTACAAAACCAGTGAATTAAGATGTGTGCTCTCTGACCTCTCCTTCTCTTAGCGTGACAGTTCTCTCTCAGTGCTTTCTCCCTGAGCACGAGCCCATCAGAAAGAGGGCATAGCGTAAACCTGTTCTATATACAGCTGGTACTGATCTCTGCAGCCTGCCCGTTGCTCCAAAAATTCCCCTGCAAAAGGCCAAAAAGCTCAAAGTCTCTGGGACTTTGCTCCAAGGGCATAACGTGTCCTTGGTCTTCACTGCAAGGCTCCAGCTTGCATAATAACAATCAAATTCACTGCAGAGACAGCCACAGCAAGGCTTTTAAGAGACTTGGCGAGAAACTACTGGAGTCAACAGGAGTTTTTCCATAAATGTCAAGCCCTTAAAAATAAAACCATCACAAAGATTTTCCTGGGAGGCATTCTGCAGCACCGACATCTGTTAGGAGAAAGGATCACTACACTGCAAAGGATCACCAATGATTGCGAGCCCACCGAGTCCCTGTAACCGGGTATTTTGAAAGTCAACCCACACTTACATATTGCACTTGCTGGCCAGAAATAGCAGTTCCAAGACACCTTATGCTATTAGGGGTTTTGAAAAAGGCAGAGGGGAGGTTTCACTCTCTTGTCTCTATCTTACATTACTGAAAAGGGAGAGGAGCTAACCCCGCTTTGCCTCAGCCCAGCTACCAGCACGTGACAAACATCTGCAGTAAACCTTCGGGACTATATTTCCTCCAAACACAATCTTGGGACTCACCACATCAGTGACAGAAGTGATAATAAGCAGCTGTCTTTAGGAGTATGGTAGGAAGTACAGTATTTCTAGAGTAAAGCAAACATTACCAAAAGGAGTGCAAGTAGATTTTGTTTAGTCATCTTAATGGACAGGAAAACAAAAGGCAGATTCTATAAATATAGAGTCAAGTTCTCTGCTAGTATAAATCAGTGTAACGGGATTGCAGCCAATGCTGAACTACACCAAATGAGGTATGTAGGATCAGGACATCTATCAAGTTGTTTCCACAATGAACTTTTCCATAGGGTGTATTTTAATACTGTAACAAAGCATAGTGCTCTCCTTCACACCACCATCGGCAAACTTCAGGGTCCTACACTTTGGCATAAACCAGACAGGAAATACACGTGTAAAAGTCAAAAGTTCTTCCTGATCTTTTGATTTGCCAAATAACAACAACAGTAACAGTTTAAATGCATGCATCTGAGACATTCTGCAAGACAAGCAATTGAAGGCACTGCGAGTCCTTCCACCAACTCCTCTGGGCTCCCAAACAGGCCCACGGGTGGAAACACTTCCACAGGTTACATGGCACGGCGAGTGAAGAGACTCTGCACGCATGAGGCCAATGCTCTGCTCACATCAGCAGTGCATGAACTTCGTACTAGGTGTTGATTGCATGGCTTTCACTCAGTGTGCGTATAACCTACGAACGTGCACATAATTCATGACGGAACTACTCTCAAGCTACAGCTGCCAGGTTTACCATCATCACCAGCAACAGGAATATTCTACCTTGATCTCTTCCAGAAGTTCCCATTGGTAAGAAAGAAGTCATACAACCCCTTCACCTGTGAAATAGTTTCCTTTCCAGAGCACTAGCCAGTCCTGCTTGACTTGCTCTGTAACCAATAAACATTGTAATTCATCTTAGAATGCATTTCCCCAGCCAGAGCCAGAAAGTATGGAACACTACTGGTTTGGAAAAGCATCTAAAAATAAGGGGTTG